GATACCCCTCGCCTCCACTTCCGCCCTTGGGACCTCACTCCTTCCTGGCACCTACGCACCCTCCGAACTTCTAGGGCGCGACCCCGTAATTAACTCGGCCGTTTACGACCTCGTTTACCCGGGCGGCGTTTACGGCGACGCGCAATGAGAAAGAAATAATTCCCTTTTCACTTTCTTCCGCGGGCGCAGACAGCCCTTGGGGTGGGAGGGCGGTGGGCGAGAGAGAGAGAGCGAGGCAACCCGGGGGGAGAGACAAAGACGGAGAGAAGGGGTGGCGCGGAACCTCGGATCCCGCGGAAGAGAGCATTGTCACTCCATTCGCCGATGTAGCCGGCGAGGGGGCGGTTCCGACCCGGGCCAACCCCCCGCAGGGGTTGTTTTACCGCCGTCTTCCGGATCGCTCCCTTCCCAGGAATTATACGCGGGGGTGGCCGCGTTATCGTTTCGGGTTGCTTCGGGGTAAAGGCACGATCGGTCCGCCACCTGGAATCGGACTCGCGAGAAAGGTTCGCCACCCTCGTCGGGGGTGGCGGGAACGTCGATCGACGCCACCCCCTTGTCGCGGCCTTTGGCACCCTCCGCGCCCTCCCTCGTCGCGAAAGTCGGTCCCAGGGTGAAAGGGTGGCGCGCTCGTCGCATTATACAGTCATCACCCCTTCGCCAGGGGTGGTTATGGTATTACCTTCGGAAGCGCGCCGCAGGGGTGGGAAGTGATTTATAATCTCGGCGATAGGCTCAATGAAGATAACCCGGCCTGCCCGAGTGCATCCTCACCTGATTCATCTCTTCCTACGCACCATCTGCCACCCCCCGCGTCTCGCGATCCACCCCCTCGATAAGCCCTATCGGCCGCTGCAATTTCACACCGCGCGGCCACCCTCGCTGCATAGCCACCCCCGATTGCGGAACCGCGGGGTGAAAAACGACTTGCCCTCGCTTCGAGCAGTTGTACCTTCGATTCGTCTATATGGCTCCTCTGGTTATTGGTTAACTCGGATTTTTCGCATTTATATTTTTTTTCTACCCCAAAAAATGTGGAACCGGGATGTTTATGGGGGGTAACCAAAAATCGGGGCTTCAGCCCGCGTTGGCACGTGCGACTTCTTTCGGATCGCGGGGGGGGGGGCAGGTGGATGATGTACGTGTACGCGTACATAGCCGAAGCTTTGGTGCGGCCTTATCGGCAGTTATCGGGCCGTGATGTCACACAATGGGCCAGACAATGCGCGGGACAATACACCCCCGGCTTCTAGCCCCTGACCCTCCCCCGCGAACTTAATAAACATAATAGCTGACTGCGCCGCCCCGCGGTCACAATGAGATCCGTTCCGCGAGATACCGAAGATATGACGACGGCGGCCATTGTACCGGCGTCGTCCGACTTTTAGTTCCGAATGGATTATTCCACCCCCACGTGGACCACCCACCGCCCTCGCTGGAGGGCCGCGCTCTTCCCCTTTCCCTTAATTTTTTCTCAAGTCTCTTATTTCGCCAATCAGGGAATTTTCCAGGCCCGAGGCACCTCCGGAACACCCTCTAGAACCCCCCGATAGACTAGCCCAATCTCCATTTAGACTAATCACAATTATTTTTTGTTTATAATTCAAGGCGATTACCGCGATAAATTTGGAATTCCTTGATCGCGAAATGATCATACAGAGAGGTCGGGATTTGTGATTATGCGAAGAACAATTATCGAGTCGAGCCCTCCCAGAAATCAGGGGATTCTTCCTTCTCTCCTTCTTTTTTTCTCTTTCCGCGCCGATCCCTCGTTGACATCGACCGATGCTAATTACGACAGGGGAGGTCCGAGTCTAATGAGGGAAGATCGCATAAAAGTCAATCAGCGAGGAGCGATTTTCGGCATTGTGGGGGCGCCGCGAAGCGTGCATCCCCCGGGTCGGCGAGGGTAAGGTCGATCGGACCCTTTCGGGTCGGAGGTTATGGGGGTTGCGGGGGCTCCAGGGGGTCGCTTCGAGGTGGGTCGAGGTGGCGGGGCGGTCCTGCGGCCTACGGAGGGTGGATTCACGCATCATCGGCTCGAGTCGACGCGGGGGCGTGTTCGCCCCCACCCCCCGGCCGCGGCCGAGCACGCGGCCGCCACGGCGAACAATATGCTACCCCCGTGTAATCACCCCCTAAACCACGTGCCACCGCGACTCGGAGAGCCGGCGACGACCGGGCCATTGAAAAACGCGGTCAGGCACCCATTATTTCGACGACTCTCCACCCCGCTCGCACGCGTGCACCCCCTACGCACCCCTATGCACCCCGGATTCGGGCGACGCGAACTAAGGAGCGCCATTTGCAGCCAAGCCGGGGCAAGAGTGCCATCGATACGTTGACGCGGATAACGGGGGTGGCCCCAAAGGAAAAAGAATTCATCAACTTCAAGTTCATTAAATTTTCCACTTTCGAGAGTCATCGGGATAAGGAAGATCACCATGAAAGGCTGCACCGCGATACGGATCCAGTTCCATGTTTGCCCGCGTCGTAAACGTCACCGTGTCGCATCCCCCGGAAATATGAATGACAATCGCCCCCTGACCGGGTCGGTTATTATCCGGCACCCGCCTCTATTTTTATGTTAATCCACCGCTCCGAAATCCCGGGAGGACCCCGAAGTGCAAACAAAGATCGCCTCCGGAATTTGTTCCGCGAGGACGGGAGAACAAAAAATGCCCCCCGATAGCAAAGAATCGCCGCCGCCGCGGGGGGTGCGCCTCGGACCCTCGCCCAATATCGACACCCCGCGATTCTCGGGGAATCCGGGTAATTTTTTCCCCGGCGAGGAGAGAGAAATAAAAGAGAAGAGTCCCCTCGTCCCAGCTCGGCTGCATCCGTCGACGGGTTCCTTTCACGGGTGGAGGTGTCAGCTGATCGGCCCACTTCCGGGCTCGGCCGAGTCGACGCTCGGTAATCAGGTAATCACCACCCTTAGAGAGCGGAAGGCGCGGCTCTCGTCCGAGGAGGAGCCAAGTATTCACCCTTGAGTGTCCATTAGGTATTTGGCTTATTCCTTTGGGCCGGGGCGGAAGCCCTTGCCGGCTCCGCGCCATTCACGCCGGGGTGAATTAACGCGGGATCGCGTTAATAATTTCCCGTAAGTAAGGGTGCGTTGAATGGGCCGCGTTATCTTATTCAGTAGCGACTCATTCGGATTCCTCGGGCGTCTCTCTCTCTCTCTGGTACGCATCCCACCCACCGCCCGCCCGGGCGGGCGGCCGCGCGCGGGGGTGCGCTTTCGAATGTCTTGGCCTGGCGGCCGAGCGTTTTGTGCGCCGCGCGCAAAGATGCCTTTGAATCCTTAATTCCCTTTGAAACTCTCATTCTGCGAGCAAAATGGCGAGAACGAGCCGTATTCTTCGGCTGAATGACGTATTGAGAGCGAGTTTTGTATGCGGTGCCTCCGCGCGCGGCCTCGCGCTCATCCAGGAGGCCCAAAGAGGTTTCTTTCTCCGGACCCGGAGGATCCCGCGCTAATTACGGGGGCTTTCGCCCCCTGGTTCGATCGCCCTCGGGGGGGTCGCGGGGCCCGGAGGTGTCCGGCCACCCCCTTGGGGAGGACGAGACGTTTCCGCGAGTCTTTGTTCGGCCTCGGGAGGAAGGAAGGAATTCCGCGCCCCCGGGTGGAGGTTTCTTTCCTCCGGTGGATCCGGAGGTGGAATCGTAGGTGCGGAGGAAGGTCGGAGGTGGTAGGACGAGCGCGAGGTGGATCGGGGCGAAGGCAAATGGCGGGGGGAGGGCCCGGGAGGGGTGCACGGGGCACAGCCCATATTCGTGCATTGTGGCACGTTCCATCGCGTTCTCAACTGAACTGAACTCGACTCAACAGTGGAGACACAATGGGCGGTATGAATAAGTATAACAGACAGACACCGGTACAGACAGACACAGGTAGCTCAGGTCGCAGTATGTGAATGAGGAACCCATTTGATAACACGCCTCCACAGCCACCCTGGCCCATTGTGTTGCTTCCTATTCAGCTGCTCTATGCCCTTCTCCTCCCGCTCTCTCTCTCCCCCTCCCTCGCGGCCGCTCTCTCTCTCTCTCCTCCTTACGCCGCCCCCGCCTCTCGCCGATATCAGCGCGGAAATCTCCTCCTATCTGTCCCGCGAGCGCCGCGCCGCTTCTCGATACTTTCCCGGATTCCGGCGGAGACGCGGAAGCCCCCCGCAAAGCCGACTCCGACGCGCGGAACGGCCGGAGGGCTCCGCGCCACCTGGGGGAACCCCAGGCAGCCCCAGCGGTCCCTGGATGGCGCCGGTTCCACTTTCGCCGTCTCGGTGACGCGGGCGGTGCACCTGCGGCCGAGTACCCGCGGTGCCCGCTGCCCGGCGCGGTCCCGATGTACACCGAGTGCGGGATAACAATGAGCGCGGGAGACAAAGCCCCGGCACAATGCCGATGTTGAACTCGACTGATTTCGACGATTTTTGGCCCTTGCGTGCGCTTCGCGGCCCGACAATGATTCCCGCATACGTAACCATCGCGGCCGGCCGGGGGCTCTCCCGGCGCACGCGACCAGGGGTTGTCAAGCGCGTCAAGCGACGTCAAGCGACGTCAAGCGACGTCAAACCGACGTCGGACCTCTCTTTTTCGAGAAAATGACCTCTGACCCAGCGTCAACGAACCGCCGAGCTCGGAGACACCCTTTTCGACGATCGACAAGGATCTGGTCCGGGTGGAGGAAAGTGGAACTCGACCGATTCGGGCACTGCCGCGCGTAGAGGGGCGTTGGACGGTCGCTTCCCTCCCCTGGGAAAATTCGACTCGGTTCTCCCGATCGGCTGAGCACCCCTGACCGCACCTGAATAGATACATTGTGCCGGGGCAGCCTATTGACGGCCGATTGTTCCCCCGACAATAACAACAATATCTGAATGGTCGCGCGCATCTAGATAACGTTTACACTAGATCCCGCCGGTGGAGGTTAGGAACGCCGGTCGCGGGGAGGTGGTCGTATCTGGTTTTCATTTTCTTTCTCTTAAAAACTGGAATTGTTTATTTCCGCGGGCATAAACAATGGTCACCGTGCAGCTCGACGACGCCGCGACGAGGGGTGCCAGGGTCCTCCACCGCGGCGGTTGCGCCACGCTTAACAATTATACTTCTGAGTACGGTCAAGTGATCGTAAGCGTTGTGATAAAGGGTCCTTTGGTTTACCGGGTGTAAACGATGGTCAGTGGCAGAGTGGATCAACGGATCCGGTAGTAAAATAAAAAAAATAGAAAATATACAGACACAGGTAAGAAAAATAGAGGAAGTGGAACTGTCCACGCGCGCCCCGGGATCCGCATTCGCATCGGTCGTCTCGATGGATTTTTAGAAGTTAATCAAGGGATTAATCATGAGATTTTCTGATATCGATGCGTCCGGGGAAATGGGGTGCGAGTAAAGGGTTAAAATTAAAGCTCGACCGTCACGGCCCGTTTCCGACTCGGGGGTAGAAGTTCGTTGCGAAGGAGTACCCTGGAGCCTCATCTTCGACGGTTCTTCTCGTGATTCCAGGGTGGTCCTTCACCAGGTGGTGGTCGATTTACCTAGGTGGTCTCCTCGTCTTCCGAGTCGGCCGCCGTTTTTGGTCTATCACAGGTTGATTCCGATAACGCCGTGCCGTTTCCCGCGAGGCCCTCAGAATAAGTAGGGCGAGGGCTCGCTAAATTCGCACTCCTGGCAGACCCTCTGAAACAAAGGAGGACCGAGGTGAGTCGTCCTCGTTGCCTTGGCACCGATCATCTATTGACCGCTTCAAGGTGGACGAGGCTTCGTACGGGATTTATTTCCGTTTATTTCTACGATCGCGACGTCCCATGCCGAAGAGATGCCGAAGCTCTCGCTCGCCGAGTACAGAGACAGCTTGCAGAATTTCCTCGTTACTCGGTACAGAGTGGTGAACGAAAAGGTCAAACGATTCGGCGAGCTGAAGGTACGCACCGCCTTTCCTCGGGGGTCCGCCAATTTTTTTTCTTTTTTTTTATATATCTCTATAATATCCTCTTCCCCTGGAATCAACCCCGTCTTCAGGGGATGAAGGCCATGAAGATCCCCGCCCTGGCGGACACGCTTACCCGAGGCATGTCCAACGTCTCCACCCTGACCGAGAGCTCCACGAGGCTGTCGCAAACCGTCTCGGAGAAGGTCGGCCGATCGCCGATCAATCGATTCTGGCAGAAGACCGGACTCCTCCGGTACTACCTCGTCGCGGCCGTCCTCTTCGTCCCCACCTTCGCCGGGATTTACAAGTCGATGAACATCGAGGAGATCGCGAAGAGCATCGCCTACGCGAGGGATCGGAAATCGGAGCCTAGGGGGTAATTTACGGAAATCGATGCACCCTCGAGAGAGACGTTCCCCCCAGGTCGCGTGGAAGAGGCATTCCTCGAGACGTTCCTTTTCCATCCTCCTCCACCCGTGGGGTCCTCTGGGCCGTACCGAGGTATAAATAAAATCTCTTCAATTACATTTTCTCACTTACTGCCGGGTACTCCTCGGTGAGGCCGTGCTCTCCCAGTCGATAATAAATCGATCGGTTCTCCATAAACGCCTGGAGGTTCTGCCTCGGCATCGTGGGGTACCTCACCTGCCAGCTGGGTTCACGGACGTTCGCACCTAGGTTCAGGATGTCCCTTCCTTGGTGCTGCACTCGCAGGGGCGCCTCCACTTGTCCCTGATAAACGGGAGAATTCTGTATAAAGTTCATCCCTTATCAGTCTTCCCCTCAGGAGTGCCTCCGATCGATGTGTCTCTGATAGGGTAATTAATATCGGTACGTTTATTCTCGGTTTACCTTATTGGCTTTCGACGTCTCCGAAGCCGGGGTGTTAGGTCTCGATTGCGTCGGCGAGGTCGTCGGGGTCGCCGTTCCTCCAGAATTCGGGAGGCTGCTGATCCCACTGGAGTCGCTCTTGGTGCTCGGAGACGACGGCGCGGTTCCGCTCAGCGTCTTCACCCCGTGGTCGTACAGACGCCCCGCACCGAGGGCGTAAAAGTGTTCCGCCTCCAACCCCGAGAGGGGTAACGCGATCGACAGGGCCGTCATCCGGTCTTGGAAGTAATCCTTCTCCTGCTTTTCCTGAGACACGAGGAAACGATCGCTTTAGAAGTGCACCCCGGAGAACGGCAATCGCCCGCTGTAATTTAAGGTGAAGTGAAACACGTCGCGAAACTTGATCAACGTCGATAAAGAAGATTTTTCTAAATGCCTACGGTGCCGACGTTCGTTTTTATATTGACAGCTGGGTCGAATTATATTGGGTATTGTACCAAATGGCATATTCCACCTGTCGTTTTCGTACAATAATTATAAAGAAATCGAAGTAAAACTCCAGAAATCCTCTGGATTCATGCCTTCTAGGGCCCTAATTGACTGCGGAGGGACCCCCTGCGCCATCTGTGATTTCCACGCCAATTAAATTTTCCCTCCGAGACCTCGTATTACCATTGTTTTAGCAAAGAAGCGCATACAACACTTTTTTTGCCTTTATCCCGTTCAAATGCGAGTTTATCGATTACCAGAGGGTTCTAAATTCTCGTAAAATTGTCCTGACCCTTTCGATTCTCATATCGGAGCCTTCGATAATTGTAGATCGATCGAAATATGAGAGCTCGACGCCATTTTGATTCTGGTCTGGACTGAGTTAAAAAATTTTTTGGAAAAATCCAAATTTTCGAATGTGTCAGGACAATTCTTAGATGATCAGGAGTGATGTGTCAAGGTTTCGGACAGTTTGGTCTAACACCCTTTAAAAAAAGTGCTGTATTCTAATCGACCGATTTGAAGGATGTTTCACTTCACCTTAAGCCTCTTTTTGAAACCCACAACTATTACCATGGTGACTTTTTCCGTAAACGGGGAATTTTTCAACGAGGTACTTGAACTCCTACGGTACACGAGTTTCGTATGAGATGCTGTCTCAGGGATTCTTGCACCGCTGTGACGCAGCGGACATTCCCTGAGTATAGGGAAATTAATAATTATGAGATTAACAGGGTAGCGATCTCGTCGAATCGGCACAACTAGACGTCGATCGGAATACTGAGGACTTAGGCCGAAAGTCGTAGAGAACAACCGTTGACTCTGTTGTGAGTAAACATGATCGATGAAAAGCGAGACGCGCGTACAGGTGCGACCTTTGGATACATCTGAAGATAATTACTTATTAATGAATTAACTAATGAATTAATTTCACCGGATTCGCGGGAAGCCAAGTCGTTCGACTCGCCGGAGTTTAGGTACTTTTTACCGCGGCAATGATTAAGCGCGGGAGGATTAATTACCCGCGTGCGCTAAGTACCGGTCACGGTTGTTATCAGTGAAAGGGGCGCGAATAATGGAATGGTAATTTGCGGCCGTTCCGTGCGGGTCGATTTTTAAAAATGTGGGGCGCAAAGGGGGGGTGGGAGGTATCCCAAAACAGAAAATCGAGGTCGACCGCCAGGAGGTGTTTGGGGGGGCGCTCGACCGAGGGGGGCGCGAAGGGCGGCCATTTGCATTTTTCGAACTCCGGGCATCGGGGGCGCCTCGCCGGAAGTTGCATCTAAATCTCCGTATTCAAGTTTGGAAACTGCGTCCCGTTCCGCTTCATTTGCCGATGTCCCGTGAAATATCACCTGGGCACCTCTTCCCCCCGTTCCTGGAGTTCTGCATTACCGACGTTATCATCCAAACTTCGCGGAGAGTCCTGCGGTGCCCGCGCAAGAAGTCTGCATTACTTTCGCCCGGTAACCTGTTTTACCCACCGCGGCTACTTTTGTACGAAACTGCCGCCCTCTTACCCCCGAGAATCTCCCTTATCGACGGATTGGCTTGCCTTCCGAGGCTCAGATGGCGCGGTCGGTATAACGTCGACGGAGATTCCAAATACCGGCGGCTCCCTCGCGGAGCGTCCGCCATCTTGGCAGCGCCATCGGCTACGAGGTTCCTCCGGCCGCCGCCAGAGCGCCGCGCTCGATTCGCCCGAGAGGAGGAGATCTTCCCGTTCGCCACCTTTGCGCCAATTCCACGCCACTTGCGGTTCCCAACCTTCACGCCTGCCGGCGTCGCGATAATTTGCGAGCAGCTTCGGAGTTTCCAAGGTCTAGAGGCGGTACTCGTGTATTAACGGCCCCCCCCCCCAGGTTTCCAGCGAGAGGTAATATGCTCCAAAACTTCTACACGTAAGAGTTCCCAGGGACGCCATTCGAGTCTACCCGAAGCCACTCGAGAAAGCGCAAACGAAACGAGAAAAAATGTCTACGGAGTTCCAGGGAAGCCCTGTACGATCTATACGTTCCGCGGCATCGAATTTTCGAGATCTCCGGAGTGCGCAAGGGTATATATTAGGAAGTAGTTCTTATAACCGTTCTCCACTTCTGTGGTTCTCCAGGTCCATCCAATTATGCGCCTAAAGGCGAAAAATCTACGGTATCACGCTTGATCGCTCTTTTTACTCCCAAGGTAGAGCCGAGGATCCGTGAAGAAAATTCCACAGGGAATTCGGAGGGGGAAAAAAATCAAGTCGGATGCAGGTCGTCGTCCAGGGGTTCCGGAAAAGTGCAGGTTGCTCGACAGGGTGAAAGTGGCCAATGAGAGGTTCGTTTAGTACGTCGGGCCCGCTAGGCGGGCGATTCGCATGTCCTCTCGGCTGCCCTGGCACATCCGGCAGCCCTAGCAACGCACATGCGCCCTTCTGGCTCCTGGGGCACTCCTAGGGGTGGTTGGGGATTGGCCCGGAGTAACACCCCCTCATAATGGGTTCACCCGTCCGAGCGAGGCCGAGAGGGCCGAGAGGAGCGGCGAGGGGGTGGGTCGGCAACGGAAGCCATATTGATTTCCCTATGTTTCCCCGTGTTGTTACTATAGCGCCGGTGAGGGCGCGAGGAGGCCGTACCCCTCGGCCGCGTTCTCTCTCCTAGTACGGATATCCACCCCCTCGCCCTGCGCCGCCGACGCCGGTCCACTTCCGGGTCTGCGAAATTCCTCAAGTTCCACTTTCCTCGCCACCCTTGGAGCCCCCCGATTTCGAGGAACCTCCCTCGCGGATGCCTCGAAACACCGGCCGTCCGGCCCTAACTTAATTTCCTCGCATTGCGAACCCAATGGCACGATCAAAGACCCCGAGAAGTGGAATTTCTTCGCCCTGGGGTGTTGCTCCTCCGGGTAATGGACACGATTTACCCTCATTGTCCGCCCTTTATCGCCCTCTTCGTTGTCGGGGCTGCATTCAGGCCCCTAGGCACGGGACCCTGGGCGAGGGAGGCGCAAGGTGAAATTATTTTTATATATTTGAATTGCAGATTCAAGGTGAGAGGGCTCTCGGGGAGCTCGCGTGCCCGGGAGAGGAGGTATCTCTTCGGGGGTGGGACCTTTCCACCCCGTGCATAAGGCGCGCTAATGTTTTGAGTAATGCCTCGCGTCTCCGCCTGCCCCACGGTTCGGCGAACACCTGGGTGGTCCACGTACGCGGTGGAGCATCAGCTGCGGGATTCCCAGAGGATCCTCCTCCCTTCCCCGTACCTCGAGTTCTTCGGCGGAAATCCGCGCGCTAGAGAGAAAGAGAGACGGATCCCAGCGACGTGGCGGAGGGCCGAGGGAGAGCGAAAAACCGCGTGGTTGTTACCTAGTGATGCATGGCTCGGTAATGGCTACAATACAACCAGCTTACAAGAGGGGTTCCGCTTCCAACCCGCCGCGACTCGAGATTTATTGCCCTACGGCGGATTGCGGATTCCCAGATTCTCTCCGTTTGTCCTTATAAATGGCTTCTATTAATTGACCGCGCTCAAGAGCGACCGGCAAAAACTCACCCCCGAGCTCGGCACCGACACCTCCGCCATGCCGCGAGGAGTCCCCGCGGAAGGAGGACTTCCTCTTCCGGGGACCCCTCGCCCCCGACGATGCACCGGAAGGAGGGTCGACCCGGAGTAAATTCCCCGTTTGGGATTCTCTAGATTTACCCGTTCCGCTACATTTTACTCCCTTACCCTCCACCTCGATTCTTTAATTCGATGTACCTTAACGAGAGGCGGTCCTCCTCGTGGCTCGCCAAATGGACCGACTCTCGCGGGGGGTCCCGGCTGCGTGACGAATGTTGTGACGTGCCGCTCCGCCCCCGCGCGTTCTCACGCACTCGCGTGCACGCACGCGGGCACGGCAACTCGCTATTAAGTGTATTAGCGTACGTTTAATGGCGCGACGTCGCTCACGGGGTGGGCTCTCGCCGCGCGGCCGCAGGGGTGGAGTCGCGGGAGTGTCTCGTTTCGTTTCTAACGAAACACTCCTGGCCTCGCACGGGTCGGCCACGTGCGCGAGGAGCACGGCTCGCAAACTAGCTGGGAGAGACCAATTTCGCCCCCGTGACCCACGCCCCCCGAGCTGCGAATAGCGCGACCGCCGCCGCGTGCGAGCGGGACGTCCCGCGGGGACGTTTCCCGCCCCTTGGTAGAAATGAATTTTTTCTGCGCTTTTTTTTTCACATCCAAGATGTTATCCGTGATCCGTGATTTTATCTAAAGTACCAGGGACAAGTGGTACCGAGGAGATGCAGCGCGGAGTGTGTCCTGGACGACGAATCGAGAGGCCGGAGACGGGCCTGGAATTTATGTAAAACCGCAACGGCCAGGCGGGCGTAATAATAACGTAAGATTGAAGGTCGCGGGGTAACGGCCCATCCCGCGTCCTCATAACATGTAAAACACCGGGATTACCTCGACGGGATAATATCGGCCGCGAGTCGCGCGCGAGCCTTCCTCGGAGATAGCCCGGGCGATAATGAAACGTTGGTTGGATCACGGGGACCGCGGGGAGGGGGCATAATTCCGGTGTCCAGGACACCGAGAGTGGACAACGGGGATCTCGGGACACCCCGCGGCTTTAATATCGCTTTATTAACCCACTTTGGCCCCCGCCAGGCGGAACCCCTCGCGACCGGCGGAGGAAAGAAGACGAAGAGGCGTCCTCCCCGGCGACGTCGCTTGTGGGTGATTGTCGCTCTTCGATATGGAATATCTCGTATTAGGAAGGAGAGAGGGTGCTCGGAGGAGGAGATAAAGGAGAATGGAAACCGGTGGTTAGGGGAGGGACACCACGTGACGCCTACAGGTAACGAGGTGAACCGTGACCGTGCCGAGTAGCCGGCGCGTACTCGCCGAGGTTTTCCGATTTTCCTGCTCGACCCGTGGAGATATCGGGGAGGGGCAGAGGAGGAAAGTTGTCCCCCGAGTGCCGGGGAACAACTTTCGTCCCGGGGGTTTTCTTCCAGCGCCCTCGGGGAAGGAGCCGCGGGTCTCCGCGTCAACGGGAACTCACTCGAGGGCGGGCTCTCGAGTAGGTGGAAACCACGCTTGCGTTGGGAGATTTCGCCCGATCGATTTTCCTGGCCCCGGAGCCGGACTTCGACGGCGTTGTGTCGCTCGGCGAGAGGCTCGGATGGCCTCGGACCGACTCGAGTCTCTCTCCCGGAGAGTTGCAAATTGGCGCGAACCTCCGCGATATACGTCCATGCCGGGATGATCTCTGGCGATCCCACGAAACGAGGCACTCGAGGCTCCTGCACGCCCGACTTGCCGCGGAGCCGGCTTAACGGACTACTCGCAGTTTGCACAGACGAAGCCACCAGATGTCGATTTGAATATTTTAGAGAGAAGTGCCACTCGGACTCTCTCCTCTCGTCCCCCGGTTTCCCCCTTTTTCGCCATCTTTCTCTTCGCCGAGCACTCCATCGAGATCTCCGACCGGGCGACGAGTTCCACGCTCTCCACTCTTCGGCTTCCAAATCCCGACGAGGCGACGCGCCGCGACGCTATCGGTCGCCGTCCACCCCCCCATGGCTCGGATTGGAATTCTTAGGGATCTTCCGAATTTCCTGTACATCCGGGATTTTTTAAAGGGACGCTGCGCGTCGCCCTGGGGTGGGATGAAAAATTGAAAATCGGGAAGACTTAAACCGCCAGGCGGGGAAGAAAATGACCCCGCTAATCCGTGGCGGCCTCGGGGACCCTCCCCTGTGGGGAGAGGATTATCACGGGGTATCATATGGGGCCTCTCGAGAACCCCATGGTTACCAGGGCGAAGTGGGGCTCCCGGAGCGCTCGGCACCGCCAAATCCACCGCAAATGCTCTCGAGTGCTTCTTGGTCGGACGTGAGCGCACGGGGCGGACCGAGCACGCGGTACTTGAACTAGTTGGGGACCACCGAGTGGCGAGGTTGCTTGTACGCAAACCCGCCACCCCTCGAGGGGGAGAAAGCCCCCTCGCGGGGCGTTCTCGATTTCGATCTCCTCGGCCAGAAATCTGAAAATTGCGCCCCTAGTCCGCGGGGAAAAAGCCTTTTAAACTCGGTCTTGGTCCGGACCTTCAAGACCAAGACCAATTTTCCACCCCCTCGCAACCCTTCCGCGCCTCGTAAAAGACATTAGGTTTAGGAATAAGCTCCCGCTTAAAAAAAATAGATTCCTAGAATTTCCTCGAATCTCCAATCGTTGAATTTAGAGTTCGACCCTCCAGAGAGGAGATCGCGATAGGGGAGGTTGCGGAGATGGACTCGCAGCCCTCGGACCGCACGGCAGACGAGCACCCGGGGTGCACGGGGAGTGCACGGTGTACGGTGCACAGGGTACACACACGTAAATACGCGCATCGGCGCGTATCGCTCCGACTTCCCTGTTTCGCGAGGGCTGGCGGGGGTGGTCGGAGTTTGGGGTTGGATGTAACAAAATCAATAGAGGGGTGGCGCGCGCGACGTAGAGAGAGAGAGGACTCTCGCCGAGAGATTGGTGGGGCAGCCCCGGCGACGCATGCGCGGCTCGCGGGGCCAAAGCCACCCCTCGTGAGCCCGCCACCCCCGCGGCCTCGAGCGGCCCAACGGGGAGGCGATGGACTGCGATGGAGAGCCTCGTCCTCTCCGCGCCTCCCTCGAGCCCTCCTCCGAGGCGAGCCCTCGGAACGGCGAGTGCTGCCACCGAGTCTGGACCGGCGCGCCCCCGAACTACCGCGCCTCCCTCGCTCCCCGCCAGAGCGCGTCTCGGCGAGGACTTCCGTTCCCGAAATCGCCCTCCCGGATCGACGATTCACTTTCTCTCTCGAGCGGAGATCCACTCCGTCGACGTTTTATCGACGTTTTATCCACGTTTTGTCCCCGAGAGAGAGTCCGAGAAAAATTCGATTCCTCGGGATTTCCCCAGGATTTCTGGAGTTCCAATAGGAGGGCAATCGGGATTCTATTACGGAATGAACGAGCCTTAATTATCCGCCAAAGTTCGTTCGGGATGTCCCCTTGCGGGGAAAGGGCATATAAATATGTGCCCCCCCCCCGACGCGTGCACGCATCTATTATTTCAGGGGAGGCCGAAACGTATTTACCGTGCGGGACAAATGCCTTGATTTGTCCCGAAACGAGGGAATCAAGGGTTGCGGTAAAAGCATTAACTCCCTCCGGCAAAGTGTTTTCCCAACTTCTGCCCCCTGCGCGCCCCCGCCGAGTTTTCCACCCCCGAGGCGTGCCCTCCTCGTGTCTCCTCGGCAAACGTTGCGTTTTTCGACAAGAAGCTGTTATCGACAGTTTCGCGGGGATCCCCCTCTGCTCCTCCCTCTTGGGATGTCCTCTCTCATCCTTGGCGCCATTTTCCGAACCGATCTCCCGACGGATTTCCCGAATGTCTCGGGGAAATTACCTCGAGATTAAGCGGCGCCGATTTTCGAAATTCCCATCGAGAAGTTAACCCCTTTCCGTGGTTGAATGCCGGGGAGGGCTCGTCGGGGGTGAGAAAAAGTTTCGGTAAATCGCCGCCATTGACGTCCTTTTCCGGCGCGCCATTATACATGCAAATTAGACGAGGCGGGGGTGGCTGTCTAATGGGGTGGGGCGGGGGTCCGAGATCCCCGGGGGTTATTAATAAAAGGTTATTCGGCCCTCCCCCCTCGAGCTGGCCGTTGATTGACTCTAATGCCAACGTCCTCCTGGGTCCCTGGAGCCACTTCTCGTGGCTTCGAGTTCCGAACTTTGGGGAAACTTACCTCGACCCTCCTCCAACCCCCGACCTTCGGAGTGCATCGCGGGCTTCCTCGACGCGCACCGAGGGTCTCCAGGAGCGTCCCGGTCCTCCCGACCCTGCGCCCTGCTCCTGCTCCTGCACCCCCCTCGAAGAGGAAACCACCCCCTAGGAGGGCCAGAGGGAGAAAGCAGGCCTCTCTTTCGCGAAGCTCGATAGAACCTCTTTGTTCTCGCGGCTCAACGGCCTCATTCGCGGCCGGGATGTTTTGTCAAGGTCACTCCCATTCAACCCCCTTGCTTGTGGGTTTTCATTCCCCGTCTCTACCCCGCAGGGGATGAAACGAGTCACCAACGAGGTTGCACTTCCGGTACCGAGAGGAAAATCCAGCTACTCCGATGCACCTGAAAAAAAAGATGCACCGCTCGGTATATTAAAAATTCCCCGTTCAGTGTATGATCTTAGGACTCAGGTTAGGAGTTAGGGGTTAAGGAAGTAAGACTCGAGGAGGGGTTGTATAAAGGATATGGTGGGATTTTTTTTTTTCTGGATTCTATGGGAGTTTGGTATTAGGGGTGGCGTTCGCCAGGTCGAGGAGTCGGGGGCTGGTGGTCTCGATTTCCTTGGTCTCTTCAGGGACAATCGGCAGGACTCGGTGTCCTGCGGTAAACGGCAGGACTTTTCCCCGAAGCCTGACCCCGGAGGCTCGCACCTGGACCAGGAGACGCCGGGGTCACTTAAGTCGTAGGTGGCGCAAAGATTGAATGGCCGGGCCTAGACACGAGCCTTTAGAAAGTCCCCTTGGGCCCCGTAAACTCCCCAAGGTGTCCTGGGAGGGTCCTGCGCGTGTCCCCAGCACCTGGCGAATCTACGCGTCTCGGACCTCGAGTCTCTTTGTCGCCGCTCGGTTTCCCCGGCTTTGTCCTCGATGCCGACTGCCACGCGACACCTCACAAAGGAGCCAGCTTTAATTTATCGATCCCCGTATTTATTGGTCGCGATCGACTCGAGAACCCTCCCGGAGAATCGCCCCCTCCTCTGTCTATCCGCCATCTGCGATCGGCCCTGGTGATAGGACACGCGGACCCTTATCGGCGTTAAACATTTTCCAGGGAGCCTGGAGGACCTAGACGACGACGACGTACCCTCCTGTAGGAGGTCAAAATCGGAGACCTCGCGTTAAATCAATTTTTCTTCAGTTTCTTAGAGTCCTCGAGTCCACTTTTACACCCCCTTAAGGTGTAACAAAATTAAATTCACCGGCAGAACGTCTCTCCTCGACGGCTTTCCACGAAGCGGGTAAAAATATTGTCTTCGCGGAAAATAAAAAATAAAAGTAAAAAGGAAGGGAAAAGGGAAGATGAAAGAGAATGAAAATAATCGGACGGAAGTGTAAATCCGGGGGAAGGTCGGGCAATTACGGTCGATTCAGGAGATCTCCCTCCGAAGAGGACCAGCTTCGGGAAAATAACGAGTACGAGGAAACGCGTTGAAAATCTTTCGCACCTTGCCGACCCCCTGTCGAGGGGTTGACCGGCGGCATCCGGTCGAGGAAACACAAGGAGAGATCCTTGGATCCTTGAAATCGACCGAGACGTCCTCCCCTACCTGGGACCTCCGTAAATTTCTTCAAGCCCGGCCAGGATTCGTCAGGCTCTCGATCGAGGTCCTGCGAGGATGTCATCGAGTCCGTATTAAGTGTCCATTCGCTTGGATGGACCTGAAAAGTCATCATCATCAAGAAATTCCGAATATTCCGAACCACTTTCTACCCATTAATAAAAATTGGCAAAATCGTACCTTCGGAAGAAAGAAAATGTTCGTCATGGATTTTCCTTCCACCGTTAAGCGGCGATCATCAGGGGCGTAAAAATTTGCCAAAAATGGTCCCGAAACGGCATTTTCCGCGTGCCCGAATCCGGAGGCATTATTAAAACGTCAGAAGACGCGTCAATGTGTTCCGCTGCATTCAACGTCAAATGATGGGGTACGTTTCCACCCATTCGTCGCCGTCAAAGGAGTCGCTCCGTCATTGTGTCGAGAAATTCGTCGACGACGAGACAGCCTCCTGGAGTCCTCGCGGTCGGTTGCATGCGGTTCCTCGTCCTTCCCGAAAGATTTTTTTTCGATCCCGTCCCGTCACCTTCCGGAAAATCCTTCGAATTTGTCCTTCCGAGGCTCCTGCACCTCCTCGAATGATTACCAGAACGATTAACGATTTTTAGCACGCGAAGGATCGTCCCATGGGACTCCCTGGGTGCCCCTTTGTCGGCGAGTCCTTTCCAAGTGACCCGAAGACGCGTCATATTTCACAGGATTCCTCAAATTTGTCCAGAGTCTGGGGAATTAAATATCCTCTCTTTTTTTCATTCACATCCTTAGTGCAGGACATCGTGACCGGAGGTGAGGAGAATATTTTTCGAGGGACTCGGGGTCCTGCGAGAGGCTCTCCCAACTCCGCAGGATGTCTAGGATCGCGTTTTCGCGACGGAATCCTCGCGAAAGCCCCTCGGGAAGCATTAGACGCTTTCCAGGGGCAGGGGGAGGGCGGAGGTCCTCTCCGCCCCGTGGAGGACCTTCCATTGAGGCCGGGACAGGTCCAGGTGTCCTGCCTTCGGCCATCCCTAGGGACCTTCATATTTCAACCCGTCAATGGGCATAGAAGGCGGCGGAGGAGCAGGTGTCCTCGTCCTTCCTCTCCCTGGTCCTCTTAAAGATCCACGACTCGCAATAAAAAGGATCCTGGAAGACTCGGGATCGTCCTCTGGCTCATGCCAACCCGAGACGCCTCTCCTCGAGCAGGACCTGCAGGGATTTCGGAGATGATCGGCCCTGACGCTCCCGAAAGGGTTGACACGCGACCCACCTGCGAAAGTAACGAAGGACCTTTCTTTATACACATTTCCTGTTAACATGAAATTATGTACATAATTTCTAGATGGATTTATACGTGGGCACATTCGGCGCGGAAATCCCGAGTATCGCGGGGGTGGAATCGAGGATTGGATTCGGAGGACACGTCAGGAGTCCTTTCGGCGACAATGAGGGAAGATCCTGGGAGGATCGCCATACATAGTTCGAGGACGCGTCTCGGTATAACAGCTCGGTAATAAAAGTTCCCGGCCGCAAATGGGCAAAGTTTATCCCCCGAACTCTCCCGGGGGTGAGTTTTCTTCCCGGCTCCGATTTCCATTGGCCGTCTCGCCGGTGGCCCGACAATTATTTGTCCATTTTACGGGCGCGACGAGGAACGCGGAAAATGGAAGGTGAAATACGAGCGCGAACTTGCGGGTCCCGAGGACGACAAAGGACCTCCTCCTGAGGTAGGACTCCAAAGTCTGCGAAGGACCTCGAAATTCGGCCGAATGCCCCGTGAACAGGGGATGAACCCATCTTGCGGGGCGATACCTCGTACCCCTCGATTCGACGGTGATTTAGCCTCGCTTTTTAACCTCGACCTCTCGAAAGAAAAATTTCGAAAATTTCTGGCCGACGTTAAGACGCGGAAACCGAGGGGAACGGGGGCCAGGAAGGGGGTCGTATTCCCGAGGGGGAAGACTCCTTTCACGTCACGGGGTGAGCGATCGAGCGGATCGCAGGTGAGAGTGCCGGAGGCTGCGACCACGGAAGGATTTATTTATATAAACGTCGAGTCACCAGTTATTAATGAAACGTCCACCTCCGCCAGGAGCGAGAGGTGTCGACTGCCGAGGGAGCCGTCGTTCTTTCTGGCCGACGAATGGAGGACCTCCACCCTTGAAAAAGCCCGCGGATTAAAAATCCGAAAATCACCAATTTTTCCCACCCCGTCGAGCCGAGGGTCGATATATTAATTTTCGATTTTTCCACCCCAGATATGTAAATCTTTCCTGCGAATGTATATATATATATTTTTAATCATTAGAAAAATCGTCACTGCCATTCAGGGAGCGAGCCGAATTTTCGCGTGGATCTCGAGGGGTGTCTCCATTTTCTCGAATTACTTCCTCGCCCTCAGAAATTCGCGGTCTACTCCCGCCCCCACGCATCCCCTTCGTTACTTCTCCGGAGCCGTCGCGCTAAGGAAACATCCCCCTTACCCCCGGAGATCGACCTCGCCGTAAAATATTTAACGAGGCAGTTTCGCGAACGTCTTTGTAAACGGTATGAATATCGCAATAAAATATAGAGACACGTACATACGTACGTATGTGCATATATGTACGCGCATGTACCCGCCGGGGGTATATCAATTCAGCGCCCGTTTCTTCCACCCCGTGCGAGACCGAAAACGCCATAAAGGAGGGGGCCGGGGCGTAACGCGAGATAATTTCCCTTAATGCCAGACATAACGCTTAATTTTAACGTTTTCCTCCTGTTTCAAGCCCCGGACTATCTATACGGCTATCGTTTCATCGCGCCTCCCTTTCCTCGTAACTGTAACGCCATATCGCTGCACCGACCGTTTCCTGATGCGCTTCCTCTTGTTCCGTTTCAGATGGCCCCAGTCCGCGGATCCGCAGCCGACATAACCTACAACCACCCTCGACATCGGTGAGTTTCCCCAAATTAAATCCAAATTGCGCAGAAATTCGGGTTTCGATTTTGTCACCTCGATTTAGAGGATACTTAAAAGCGAAAAATACTACGGAAGTGGTATTAAGGGTGGGATAAACTAAGAAGCTCGTTTCCTGACCGAAGGGCCGCCGCCACCCCTTCGCATCGCGAACAGAGGGGGTAGTCTTTTCGCTGGCGGATTTTTCCTCGGTGCATCTCGCATTAACTGCATCGCGCGATACGCGTATTTGTCGACACGCCCACACCCTCGATATGCACGTATTAGTGGGCCGATATACGTGCACACGGGGGTGGCCGGGGGTGGCCGGGGGTGGAGGAAGAGGACTCGGCGAGGACCCAGGAAGCGCTCGGCGGAGGCGTGCATCCGGTAAGATTTAATGCGATCTCTTGTGCCCTCTTCCCTTTTCAACCTCCTCGACGGCCTCCCTGCCCCTGGACCACCCTTCCAGCATCCAGCATCCAGCCGAAACCCACCCTCCCGCGGGAGCATCCTCGCGAACGTCACCTCGAGGGCCCAATTAGCGCCAGGCACGAGTGTCATCTCGCCGCGGTTTCTGCATTCGCGTGTGACTGGCGTTTTCTGCGGCTACGCGCGGCTTTACGGCTCCGCAGGAGCGTCTACGGTGGTGCACGTCTATGCCCCACCTATGCAACCACCCCCGCGAGATCGCGAAGAGGGTGCATCGGATCCGGCACCGTGGATTTCTTCGAAACTGGACCAGAAACCCATACATGATCGAGTGGCCGAGTTCCATGGGGTGGATAGAATTTTTCCCGACACCCCTTCCCGCGAAATTTCAAGGTCGTCTTGAATTTCCTCCACTTTTCGAGAAATGGGTTCGCGAGGAAATATATTTTTTTTTCTGAGGAAAGTCTTGAGGTCGAAGAAAAAAAAATAACGGGGTCATCTCCAGGTTGGAAATAATTCCCTTGGAAAATTCGGATGTACTTGGTTTACGAGAAGGGGTGCGCGTAGATCGGGACTTGCACGTCGAGGGCATGGGTGCGGGGGTGCAGTCCGCGTCCCCCACGGCCAGGGCCGGTGGCGGCGCATAGGCGTACCGACGCGAAGGGGCTCTCCCGGTGCATCCGATGCACCCTCTCGGTGCTCCACCCGGCAGGCGCGCATTATACAATTTTCTAGGAGATATTTCGCGATATAATAATTGGGCATTCAGCGGCGACGCGCGCGGTCGCTGAAGTGGAGATTAAATTATATTTCGAGGCAGGAAAGAGGGAGCGCCGGTACGCGCCGCGACGGCCGCTGCGCCGGCGGAAGAGCCAATGGGGAGGCGCGCCCCCGGCCGAGGGGAAACGAGCCGGAGGGGGCAGGGCGTGGTTCTACGCCCCTGCGACCACCGCAGCGGGGGTGGCAAATGAAAACATTTTCATCGGGACAGAATGCTCCTCGGAAGAAAAATACTCTCCCTCTCTCGCTCCCTCTCGTTATTTTCCATAACGACGCTTTAAACCGTCATTAATTGTGGACGGCCCTTAATGAGCCCGCGACGTCTTCCAAGGCGCCCTGGAAACGCGGCCCGGGGGGTGAAGTCCCGTCCAAGGGAGACCAACCCCTTCGCCGAGTTAACGGACTCCTGGCTCCGGATGGACCGAATCTCCGGAAAATCCATATATCAAAATTCCCCCATGAATCCCGCGATAAGATTTCCACTCCTCTCTAATCATTAATCGCGGAGATATCGGAAATTCTCCCGAGATCTCGACATCTTTGTGGTACTTTTCGATACACGCGGGTAGACGCGCGGGTACTCACGCGTGCCGTGTCGCATGACTCGATCCACCCTTTCCCGGAGGTCGGCGACAACGCGACAATGCGCGGATTATCCCGCTATTTCGAGCCAACAATGTCTAGCATTCGGAGTCGCGGCTGACAGGATGTTGCGTGGATATCTGCTCCTTTCTTTTCCCTCCCCCGGACCTTCCTTACGAAAGGGGATCGCGTAGAGGCGATTAGGTCGATTCCTCGAGCTCCCACCGGAGGAACGTGCGAGGATCCTGGAGGTGGTCCCGGCGACAATGCCGAGGAGTTGCTTCAGCTGTCAATCAACGGGGTAAATCTTGTCGGATCGGATCTTACGCCGGCCCTTTATGGCGGCCCATGGACTCCTCGCGACCGCCGAGGTCTTAACCCCCCAGGAGAGCTGAAAAGATCGAAGGGTCGCTCGAAATCTCGTAAAACAAACTTTCTCGACTCCCTCGAGCGCCCGGATTACCCTGACAGCGATGCTCCATGCAGTCCTTCGTGCAATATCTATACATGTATTTATATTACATTTTTTTTTCTTTTCGGCATTATGCACCCCATCATATAATGAATATCGCCGGGATCGGTGTCGGGGTTAAAAGTCGTGTGGCGGATTTCGCGAAACTAATTTCCCAGGTCCTGCCCCCTTCCGCCCGATGTCCGTGAATAGATCTCGCGTGCACCTCGTCAGGTCCTTTTGTGCAGCGATGCCCCGCCATTTCGTCGCGAGCGCCACCGAAGGGCGCTCAAGTGGCCGCGTTAATGGCGACATACCTGCGAGATAAAGGGCCCGAGGGGGATGAAAAGTGACTCGAAACGAAAATAAATCCCGACGACCGCCCCCTGCAAAGTCTTCCCAAGTGCCGTTCGCGCGCACGCCCTAATTAACCCTTTTTTTTTCTTTTTTTTTTCAGCCGGGAACCGAATTTTTTATTTCACCCCATCGCCGCGTCGACGCTCCCCGAAGGACGCGTCCACCCAGAGCCCTGCGAATAATACCGCCACTGGGCGGAAGAAAAATCCCTCAGAGCGGGCTAATCACAATTTTCGGCCAAAGCGAACCTCGGACACCCCCCTAAAAAATTCACCCGTGAATAGATTCGCCGCGGAGGTTGTCGCTCTTTTGTGCGGCGAAAGCGCCGTTTCGCCATGAACGCCACCGAAAGGCGCTCAAGTGGCCGCGTCGAGTGGCAGCCACAATGGCGTCGTTAGAATTTATCCGGAAATGAAAAAAAAAAAGAAAAGGGGGAAGAAAATAAAAAACGAGGAAGGAGCAGGGACAACACTTTTCCCGCCGGGGGGGAGGCGAGCGCACGCACCTCGCCAAGTGTCATTCAATTGCATATCCCAATTAAATAACAGGCAAAAGGGCGACGTAGCGTCGCGGAGCGACCCGACGCCCCTAATTGCAAATAAAAAAAGGATTCCTTCCCAGGGAGGGAAGGGAACGGGGCGAGGGGATGGAATAAACACCTTCAAGGAGCGTCGCGCCCCCCGATCGTTACTTTATGCGGTTTTTCCCTTCTTCGAATCGAAT